TCTGATCCAAAACTCACCTTCAAAAATGAACAAGTATAATCTTCCCAAAATAATTACCTTAAAAGACTATAAAAAAAAAAAAAAATACATGTATAGATTTCTTTCTTACATAACATTCATCCACTCATTTAAGAAACATTTGTAAATGCCAAACATCTCACTGACACAATCATTTGCAAGTACTATATTAAATACACTATACTGTACTTTCATTAGTGGGAGAAGTGCCTGAAAGAAAATGTGTGGTTTGTGCCCCATCGGGTGGCCAAACTAGAAACTTCAAACAAGTTCTAGCAAGGCAAATTAACTGTAACTAATCATCCTGGTGTGGTACTGTGGTCTAATGTATCAGACTGCAAAGTCCTTTGAACTGCAAGGTTGGGTGGGTCAAGCTCACCAGCTGCTCCTTGGAAACCCTATACAGGGTCACTATGGGTCAGATCCGACTTGAAGGCACTTAACAACAACAAATCAACATAATACCTTTGGGAAACTGAAGTCTGCAACGAAGTGTTCTTATGTGAAAGTACTATAAATGAAAATCATAATATTTCCTTTCATGAAAATAAAGGAAATGAAGTTTATGCAAACTCTCTTCCCAAATTCTGCAATAAAAACTTAGTTCATGGCTATCATTTTTCTATAGTTAAGCTAAATAAGAGTCTCATGGAGTCCTGATGTAGCACTACAGGATAAGCACTGAACTGCTAAACGCAAGGTCACCTGTTCAAACCCATCAGCCTCTCTTTGCAAACACTATACATAGTCACTATGGAGTCCTGGTATGGCACTCCTGGATAAGCACAGGACTGCTAACCACAAGTCAATGGTTCAAACCTACCAACCATTCCTTAGGAAACCCTCTATAGGATCACTATAAGTCTGAACCAAATTAACAACACCATAACAAGGAGTCAGAATTGACTCCATGAAACTTAAAAACAACATGAATAATATACCTTTAAATGCTCTCCTCTTCACCTACCAAATATAATTAAACAACTAATGTCACTGAAATTTAAAGCTGAGTGGGTCGTTAGAAAATACGGTACTGTGGCTTTAGAAATCAAGTCCAACTCAAAGTCACTGCCACTGTTGTTGTTGTCAAGTGCCATCGAATTGATTCCAACCCTGTATAGGGTTTCCAAGGAGCAACTGGTGAGCTTGAACCGCTGACCTTGCAGTTCAAACGGCTTTGCAGTCTGGCGCATTAATCCATAGCACCACACCAGGACTCCACTGAGTTGATGCCAAATCATAGCCTCATTTTTCTCCCAAGGAGGTGCTGGTGGGTTTGAACTGCCAACCTTGCAGTTAGCAGTCCTGTGCTTATGCTACAGCACCACCAGGCTCCTTCAAGTCCAACAGTCTTTTTAATTTACAGATGAAAAACCTAAAGTCCAGAAAGAGGAAGCGATTTCATCAGGGTCATACTGCTAGTGTAGCCTGACTTCCAATGTTTACACATCCAATGCTCATGAGACTAGCTACATATATGATCCTAGACAAATGACTTAACCTTTCTGGACCTGCCTGACAACACAAGAAAGTAGACCATCACTAAATTTCTTGTCTGCTCTAAAATTCTGTAATTTACAGACCTCATTATTTTAGTATCTTGCAAAATTATAATATATGCTGAAAGAAAATTCCTGGTTCCTAAGAAACCAAAGAAGCACAGGTCCCTAGGGAAGAAAACACAAATCAGCAACACTTTTTTCTTGCTGCTTTTGCTAATACCTTGTAAAATCTTCTGGGTTTAATCGACCTAACTGATTAATTAACTACAGAACTATGAAGGATAGAATCATTGCTCCTAAATTGCTTTAAAAAAGCATTTTAAAAAGATTTACTGATGCTCTTTTATATGTTATGATTTACACTCCAACAGATTAGTAAACACTGGGATAGTCTGCTCATTTGTATTTATTCTTTGTAAATATTATTCACAAACTTGATTCTCTTTGTGTGGTTTCTTCATGTTGCTCTATTCTTGTATGCTTTATCAGCATGCCTATGAAGACTGAATCTATGAACTTCACATCCTATTTTCAAATTAAAAACTAAAATATTCTGAATATTGATGGCTAATTAACACTAAGAAGAATTTAACAATCCAAGGAATAATAATTATTAAAAGTTAAATCAAAGAGCCTATGAAATAGAATGGATGTTGAGAAGCTCCTATATTCTTATTTTACGGAACAAGAAAGAGACCTGGAAAGACACAAAGATTGTCCCCAGAGTCTCATGATTAATTTACAAAAGCACTGGCACTTACTTTTGTAGCTGTGTATTGTTATTGCTGTTAAGTGACGTCATGTTGGTTCTGACCCATAAACCTTGTATAGGGTTTCCAAGGAGCAGCTTGGTGAGCTTGAACCACCGCAGACCTTGCTGTCCAAGACGACTTTACAGTCCAGCGCATTAACCCACAGCGCCACAAATATATAATATAAATAATTATAGATGTATAACAAATTTTCAGCTTTATCTAATGTTCTACTTATTTTAAATAATGTTTAATATAGCAAAATGGCATAAAGCCAAGAATCTGAACAGTTCAGAATGGTTCACAGTACTGGAAAGAGCCACAGAACTAAAAATCAAGGGTAATACACCAGAATTTTGCCACCAGTGCTTCAAAAACAAATTCAAGCATTTATTAATAGGAGCATCATCACATATAGAGGAAACACATATTATTGCATTACGAATGGTTCTTTTCACTAGCAAAGGCTAACACATCTCTTTGCATGTCCTTTTACCCCTAAAGTTCCTAAGTTGTTAAAATTCCTAAGCCCTATAGTTTATTAATGCTGCTTTATTATTTTGAAAGTAACACCACCAATTCTTTAGAAACAAACAACACACAGGTTCCAATCCTGTAACATTCTTTAATGGTTCCAAGTCAGAGAAAAAAGTGCCCCTCACTAATAAACAATGAGCTTATCCATTATCCTGGAGACACATAGAAGAAAATCTCTGTAGAATCAAATTTCAATTATCAACAATAAATGAAATTCTCAAAAGACTATTTATAACTGGCCCAAGGAAGATAACTCAGTCACACATTTGCTCAGCAATTTTGTCCCTTTGTGGCCAACACAGAGCAACCATTAGTCCAACATACAAATGGACTATGTGTATGTGAATGAAGAGTCCCAGAATCACTGTGGTTACTCTAGTCACAAAGCTAACATCACAAATCAAGAGGTAATTGTTCCAAACTAAATGATATGCTTCCTCTTCATCTCAGATATTCCATACAAATATAACTCTATGAAAGTTTAGTATTGTAATACTTAAAATAAATCACAGCATACATCCAGCCACTATTACTTCTGTCCAAATCAAGATTATACTATATAACAAGTACAAGTCCTAAATCTCCAGAAGAACTGGCAGTGGTGCTGAAAATTACTACTAGAAGGATGAAAGACGGATACTCTTCTTTCAATAAAAACCATCATCTGGACTCTAGCCAAGATTTTTAAACTGACTGAATGTTATTAGGAACAATAAATCAAAAAACTCTACAGGCTGAAATGCCAGGTCCTTATTATTTCATTCTTATTTACAAAATATAGCCACAAAACACTAAGAAAATTAAGTAACAGGAAAGTACTAATAATTCTAGGCCTAACATGTACGGTAATAATAAAAAAAAAATTTCAGTTACAAGTGAGTTTATTTCACAACCTTTGAGATTTTGTTTAACCTTACCTACATCCCTTTCTCTAGCTCCTTCAATAATTACAATGGTTATAGGATTAAACTCATCACTGAACTTAAATAGATACTACACAGAAGATTAAAATAGTATGGTTAATAAAATCTAGCTAGCATATGTGTGTTCATATTGATTTTATTCTTTGTTCCTGTACACACATACATGTTAATTCCTGGAGGTAACAGACAAATCTTTCTCTATCTAGGAGCTGAACTGCCAGCTACTGAGGACAGCCTGCTGCAATGTCTACAGCTCTTGGGTAGCTTCCTTCTAAATTTATAAGTGAGTTCATTATCTGTACTTTTCTCTGAATTAATGTAAAGTAATGGCATGTTTCTTATCGCTCTTACTCTGTTATCACAGAAATTGCGTGGGGGAGGGGAAGAAGGGGTAGCATGAATTCTATAATACATAAGTATATTTTAAAAGTACATTGTTCACAACAGAGTAAGTTTCTCCCTAGCAAACAAAAAATTTAGGAAATTAAACTTGACATTTTTAACAAGGCTCTCTGTCCTCCTTCCTCTTCTCCCCTTCACTTCATTCCAAAACAACAGAAGAGCCAAAACCAAAGATGCAGTTACTTTGTATACTTCAGGCAATGAGTAGAAACAAGAGTCATCTTTTTTTTTTTAATCAAAACAGACTAGTTGATCACAATACGTTTACATAGTGTAATCGGCGACATGTAATCATGTAAATCAAGTTTCAATCCGGTTACAAAGCCTTTGTCAACAGTGGGAAATAAGAGCTCTGTGGAATGAAGGACTCGGAGGAAATCACTGGAGGGGCTTATCTCGGAAGAGAAGGATTCCCTGGTGAGAGGTGAGCAAGGAGAAACAAGATCTAACCTTGGCAAGGGGGCGCTCGCCTAGGGTGGGGACGAGAGGTCAGGGTGAGTGGGGAGGACGGGATTGAGCGCGGAAGCGCCGCAACCCCGGGCAGCCCCCGCACCAGTGACTGCCCCACCTGCGGCTCGCCCGCCCACCACCATTCCCCAACCCAGGCCGGGGCTGTGCCCCTTCCTCTAGGTCCGCCGTAAGCATATCCGTTACCCCGGCGGCAGCGGGGCTGCGGGGGAGGGGAAGGACAGCGGGGCCGGGAGGGAGACAGCAGCGGCAAAGATGCCGCAGTGGTGCCCCGCGGCAGCGGGTCAGAGTCCACCAAAGCGCGGGGAGCCAGCAGTAGCGGAAGGCGGCAGTGGAGGTCGGGACTGGGTGAGATGGTGGCCCCTCGATTCCTCCCACACCCCAGACGCCTCTGGTACCTCATACTGGATGTATTGCTTCCTCCACTCGGGAGTGATGTGCGCGGAAAGGTGCTCGGCGAACTTCATCCTGCCGTTTCCCCCTTACTCCCACTAGGGTCCAGCAGCTACAGGCGGCGGCGGCAGCAATAGCGACTCCGACTCCTCCCCACATGAGCCCCGGCGCTGCGCGGAGCGGCGCTTCTCTCCTCCTCCGCCGCCGCCGAGATCTCCTCAGAGCCGCCCTCCCGCCATCTTCCTCCTCCTCTCCATAGCCCCGCCCCGCCCCGCCCTCTAGACGTCATCCCCATGGTAACCGCCTACGCCGCATCGACGAAAGGGGGCGTGGTAATGGGAGGGGCTGTAGGACACGCCTTAAGGTCCCGCCTCCCTTGAGGCCGGACGTGCTGAAGGCACCACCTTTCGTGACCTCTTGAATCTGGTTAGATGTACAGCTGCTCTCTACCGCCTACCTAGGACGCAACAGTTATTGCAATTAATACTAATTAATTAATATTGTAGATTATTAGAATAATCCACAAAAAGTTTATATTTACAAAGAACTGTGCAAATATACTTTCCACTTAATATTTATTTTTCATAAAACCCTTGAGGATGGATCATCAGTAATTCAGGTTGAGTAGCTAAAGCAGTCTATTTAGGGACCAAATGTACTCCTACTGAAAAGAATGGTATTTTGTGCGTTCTATAGCGGGTAGGGTAAACACTAGACTGAAACCCTATTCAGGGTCACTATGAGTCGCAAACAACGCGACAACACTTTACAACTACAGGTGTTTAACAAATGCTTATTGAATTTAATTAAAGATAACAATGCCCCAAACTCATGCTGCTTTTGAATTTCAATGTAATTGTCTATTTGGGAGTGGGGGTAAGGTGACTACCAAAAAGGAGAATAACAACACCTGGACCCAAACCAGGACAGTTGTTAGCAGCTGTTGAATCGGTTGCAACTCATAGCGACCCTGTATAGGGTTTCTGAGGAGTGGCTGGTGGGTTTGAACCACTGACCTTGCAGTTCAGTGCTTACTCTTCATCACCACAACAGGGACTAGGAGGTAACAACTGGACCTGTGGCTGAGCTTCTTGTCTGCTGAGAACTGAGGCAAATCAATAATAGGAGGAAGAAGAATCTTGTAGAGGAACAGTAGCAGCTCCTAGCCCCAGGGAGACCAGAAATGGGTCCAGCCTCCAGGCTATACTATCCTTAAGGAGCACGAGGAATAGACCTCCCACACAGCTAGGCACTACTTTCAGTGTGGGAGTGATTGGCTCCCCGGGGGTTCTGATTTGGGATAGAAGCCTCAGTCCCACTCTGGGTGGAGAAGCCCTAGATAACATTCTTATTATTGCTGTTAAGTGCCGTCAAGCCGGTTCCCATTCATATGACCTATATAGGTTTCCGAGGAGCAGCTGGTGTGTTATAAACCGCAGACATTGTGATTCAAACCGACCTTGTGGTCCATCCAGTGCTTATCCTACCACGCCTCACATGGACTCACATGTTATTGTTGATAAGTGCCATTGTGGACTCCAATAGCTAACATTTATTAAGAAAGAAAGGCCTGAGGATCTACTTCTGAAAATTAGCCCATGAAAACTCTGTGGATTACAACAGTCCTATCTCATTATACATGGGGTCACCATGAGTAGGCCTACTTAACAACAGCGGACAACAACACATTTATTCAGCACTCACCGTGTATTAAGCACTATTTTAAATTCCTTATATGTACTTTGCTCTTTAAGACTCACAATTTTGCTGAGACACAAATTTTACTAGGAACTACTGTGACTGGGACAGTATTCTAAGATAGCAGACTGTGCTACTGGCTTTTTTCCTCTTTTTGCTTCCTCTTAATTCATGCCAGTAGGAGTTCTGCAATTATTTCCTCAGGGGACAGATGATGGAAAAGAGACATAATCTCTGAGTCCTTCTGGCTTTAACTTTACAAAAGCCTAAACTCTTGGTAAAAGGTTAACCAAGGTCAAAAAAAAGAGAGAGAGAGAGAGGTACAAAACAATATAGGCGGTTGGACTTATTGCTACAAGAACAAGCAAGTTGCTCACCCTAGAGACATCAAGGCAAATGATCATGGTTGGGTCTGCTCAGGGCAAACCCCCTTCCAAGACTAAGACTCAATGGGAAAACATGCTCTGATTAGTGACCACATTCGTCACCGATAAGGGGAAGTGAGGGAAAAACAGCAATGAAACTGCGAGCTAAACCCTACAACCTTCAATAGACTCCTGTGAACCCAGATGGAGACCTGGTTGGGCAGCAGTGTGGCAAGACCTGTGGGACTCTTGGGCCCAGAGTCAGTGACATAGCCACAGAGGACTAGAGTGGAGAGTGAAGTGTCTACCTGATAAGATGAGAGGGCATATGCATAAGAACACCCACACTTGCAGATAATACCCACTTGACCTGGCTTCAATGACTACACGACCAGAGCTCAACTAGAAGAAGAAAGAAGAGGAAAAACAGAGTAATCTGATACAATTTGATGAACTGACCTTCACCTATGGATGCAGTAGCTCAAAAGAGGAAACAAATCCTTACGGCAAGAATCATTCCCACCCCCTCCACACACAGAGTAGACAGGGCTGGGCAACTTGGACACTGGCTACCCAAAATGGAGAGGGGGGCGGGGCTACAAAGGCAAGAAGTGACTGGCTTACAAGCTTTCAAGAAGGAGCCTCGATCCAGAGAGCACAGAGGAAGGTAGAATCTCCACTGAGTAGAATCCAATTTGTCTGGGTGGGGCTGATGAAAAGAAATGCGGATAGGTTTCTTGTGATACAGTAGTGAATAATTGTTATCAGGGCTGACTGTGAGGGTTGGAAATGTAAAGATAGATGTTTTGTAGCAAAAGGAGAAGAGTAAGGAGCTCTGGTAGCGTAGTGGTTACGAATCGGGCTGCGAACCTTAAGGTCAGCGGTTCGAAACTACCAGCCAGTCCGCAGGACAAAGGTGAGGCTTTCTACTCCCGTAAAGATTTACACCCTCGGAAACCCTGTACAGGGTTGCTATGGGTCGGAACCGACTCAATGGCACTTAACAACAACAACAACAAATTGACTTTGCAGTCTAGGAACGGAAGTCTCTGGGACCATCAAGGGAGAAGAGCAGAGAGCGAGACCCTACCCAGAGAAGCAGTGATGCCTGAGATGGAGGCAGAGATGATGACATGGAAGATGGAGTGGCTGGTGACTCTAGACCCAGAGAGGGAGAGGGACTGTGTGCTGATGACCGGAGCAGGCTTGTAGGGTATGCCCTTTGGTTGGTTGATGATGCATGGAGGGACTGTAACCATGGCAATGAAACAATATATGATAGGATGAATGTAAAGCTAATGTTCTCCCTTGTAAACTATCAAATAATTCACAATAAAACATTAAAAAGGGGGGAGGGGGCTTTCCTCACTTCAATCTCATGTCTGATTGCCTCGCCATAAAGTTTCTCCTCTATTGGAGGTAAATGTTGTTGAAAGAGAGATAAACACATGTATAGAGAGGGCTATGCTGCTAGGAAGGAGGTAGAACTGCAAAGAGGAAACAGCTGCCTGGTATGCTGAGGAAAATCCAACTAGGGATAGCTAGATCGCTGTGGACCAGAGTGATGGGCTTCTGGCAGCAGCCCTTACAACCATGGCATGGCCTTCTAACTCCTGCTCTCAGCAGCACTATATCCTTCTATACCTGAACACTGCACAATTCTGGCCCAACTCAGGCAAGACAAGCGCTCAATACTAGTTCTAAAACCAGTAATACTTAATGTTTACCAAGCCTGATCCAGAGCCCTGCCACCCAGTTGGACATGAAAATATTACTTTATCCACTGAAATAGATTTGATAGGTGTCCTTATTACTAACATGATTTATAATAATGGAGTCTCACTGGTAGAACCATCAAAGATTTAATATTTATTGAACAGAACGCTCTGCTGGATACTGTGAAGGAGGATTGTAATAGTCTTACTCTGAGTCAGGCGGGGCTCCTGCCTTAGACTTTCTTCTGTAAATAGGCAAATCTTTCTTCATTTAATAAAACTTTTGAGAATCTCTGATATTCCAATCATGCCACTTTGAGCTAAAGGATGATTTTAAAAATAAATAAGATTCTGTCTTTTTTCTAGAAGCAATCACAATCTAGTCAAAAAGGCAGGCAGAAAAACTAGTAACTAGACTATAGTGTGAAACTTGCTGTAAGTGAGGTATGTACAAGGAGACAAACAAGCATCCAACCAAGAAGTAAAGGATAATCAAGAAGGTGGTTTTGAAACCCAGTCTTAGACAATAACCTGAAAGAGAGAAAGACACCCTAAGAATCTCAAAGGCAAAAAGCAAGAGCTAAGATATTTTGCAAGAAGTCTGGGTTGTTAAATAATCTCAAATTGCTGTCTGCCTGGATTATCCTTTAAAGCAGCTAAATGTCCCTCCTCAAAGAAACTCTGCTTGCTCCATCCTCTCCCCAACTCAATCTGGGTCGTCTGAGACTGGTTCTGGCTCACACATCACAGTGGTACACTCCCCTAGCTGTATTGTGAATAATAATTTGTGTCAAAGACTAAGAGCTTCTTGAAGACGAGTTGTTTACTTCTCTTGTTTTCTCCAGTATAGCAAGATACCTGGCACTCGGATATTAAATATATGTTGAAGGAGCACAGGAGAGAAAAGAGGAAGGAAAAGATGGATGGAAGAAAGGAAGGGGAGGGCACATGGAAAGAAGATTCACGAAATAAAGTTAAGTTAGAACAAGATTGTGAAGGAATAGGCATTGACGAGCTTTTGAAGTTTTAATCAGTTTTATAAGGCATTCTCTACTCCTACAGAGGAGACCTGAATTCTCTCCTCCTACAGAGGAGACCTGAATTCAATTCCTGGCTAATACAAGGGCTTGATTCTGGTCAATGTGCAGTTACCACCCAATCAGTCACGGAAGGATTATGTGTTGCTGTGATGCTGGAGTCCTGGTATGTCACTGAAAACTAATACGCTAGACTACAAGGTCAGTTTGAATGGCTAGGTCAGCAGTTTAAGCTCACCAGCCACTCCTCAGAAACCCTATACACTATGAGTCTATGAGTCAGAACCAACTTAATGGCACTAACATGATGCAGAACGGGTGTCAGTGGAGCTTCAGGCTGAGAAGGACTAAGAAGAAAGTCCTGGTCATCTATTTATGAAAAATCAGCCAATGAAAACCCTAAGATTACAACTATCAGATCCAAAAC